CTGCGCTGCCCGGCCCGGCCCCGCCCCGGCGCGGGGGGCGAGCGGCGGGCGGGGCGCCCCGTCCCTACCTCGGTGCGGGGTCTCCGGGAGGACGCGGCGCTTCGGGCTCCGGCTGCACCTGTGGCGGGGCAGGGACGGCGCCTCCCCCGCGCGGCCGCGGCCTCGGCGGGAGCCGCAGGAGCGGAGGGAAGTCTGCTTGTTCCCTTCCCCGGCCCCTTCCCCTTCGGCGGCTTCGAGGCAGAAGCGGCTCTGTCACATGTCCCCCGGCCGGCGCGGCGGGGAAGGAGGGCGGGAGGGGAAGGAGAGAGGGAGGGAGGGAGCTGCCGCCCGGCCCACCTCAGCCCGCCCGGGCTCGCCTCAGCGGTGCCGCCTTCCCGGGCGCCTCTTTCAAAACTCCTCAAAAGGCGCTTTAATGCAGAAAAACTTTGGTTCGAGAGCAGAGCGTCGCAAGGCTGGTGCGGAGGTGACAGCCGAGGGCTGTGCTGGCCATGTGTCCCCACAAGAAGTGTTTTCATCGGTGTCCGCCCTTCAGCGGAGCAACGCGGTTGAGGCGCTCGTCTATATTTAAAAAATAAGAAAAAAAACCGCCAAACCCCGAAAAACTTACTGGGTAAATAGCCCAAGGCAAATAACTAAAGCTCAAAACAAGCGTGACTCAGCAGGTATGAGGATATTAATATGTGAAATATTTTGACCTTATTTTGAGAGGTTCTGGACCCCAAACCTGAAAACTTTAGGCACTTGTTTGATAAGTTTTGGTTACAATACTTGGAGTCCAGTCTGAAGACATTTAGGTATAAAAGTATCTTTATGATGCAGGGAGGCACTGGGAATGAAGTGAGTGTAGAACAAGGTACTTTCTGTAAAAAGACAATCAGGGTAAAGGTAGATCTCCCAAAACGTGAGGGATCAGGTAGTTCTGTGTCCCCCCAGGTTGGTAAGCATAGAAATGCTCCATTCATAAACCTCAGGGGATTTTGGCTTCAGAAACTCCTTTACTTCACACAGCTGGTGAAAACACGGAAATTAAAAGAAAGGAGGTGACCATACCAAGTCTGAGTTGCAAAGAAGACCGGATATTTTGACTCTTTACACTGGTATCAGCACAATCACCATCATATATGCTTGTAAAAAAGGCTAAGGATTATGGCCCCAGCTGTTGTAGGAGACATGCACCAATCCAAAGCATTCAAAAATGAGTCACCATAATAATAATAAAAATTTTTAGAATAGCATTAATGCTACAAAAATAGGCATTGTTTCTTAGCTTGGGAAAAAAGACTTATGCTGCGTGTACGTGTTTCTCCCACAGTCACTCTGAATGTCTTCATCAGCTGCTGCCGGCTACACCCAGACGAGCCAACCACCTCCCGGAAAACTGCATTCTGTAAGTGTCTGTGTGACTCACGGCTGCCCTGCCCACTCGATATGTGAGTAAAGAACACCTGTTGCTGCTGGCCATTCAGTGCACCCCTTGATTGCTGAGCTCTTAGTGCTGCATCCTCTCTCCCAAGCGCCTGCCTGAACTTGCCCGAACTTGCCTGCTGTCGTTTGCCTGGCAGTCTGGGCTCCTTGCTGTCCCTCTAATCGTAACTGTGCCCTGCCTACTGGACTCAGGTATCCCACGGCTTCTCTTCTCAGCTTGGCAAATGGGGCTTGCCTCCACGCTTGATTTAATCTGCCTTCTGTGGGATGCAAGAGCCTGGAATAGTTCCCTCTTGTGCTGACTTCCTGCCAACTGCAGGGAAAAAAATAACGGTCTCGGAGATAACTGTGTTTCTGCAGTTTTCTTTCATGAAAAGGGACAGCTCCGTATTCCCCTAGTGAAGAAAACCTTGCAGTGGGAGTTCACATATTGCAGAAGCCAGAGAATTAACACACAAATGAGACCTCAGAAATGCCTTAATAAAAAAAAAAACAAACAAACAAACCACTTCTATGGGCACTGAAGTGCAAATCCGTAAGGATGTAGGACACTTTTTCTAGGTAACCATGAGTATTTAAATGAACTTTCCTTTTGTAACAAGTTGGAAAGTCTTAAAGGCAAACTGAGATCATAACTTAGTAAATATATCTGTAGTAACTGAAGCATTAAAAAGATGCTATCACGAGATTTGTAATAGGAGCAGGATGGATTGTAAGAATAGGCTAATGGTAATAAATTAACAAGAAAATACTTCAAGTCCTCCCACATTTTGCAGCAGCAATAACTGTGATCAGTAATTTTACAAGGTGTGTTCAAAACATACATTTGACTGGTGGGTTCAGTTTCCTGTCCCATCTCTGCTCTCATAACAAACAATTCACGTGCATCTTTGGAGAATGGAAGTAACGTTAAGCTGACAGCAATGAAATAGCATATTTTCAACACAGATGTTGTTGTACTCTTCCATTGCACAAACCATAAAGCATTAAACTTTGCATCCAGACTTAGAACACCTCATGATTACAGTCAACACCTTGTTAAACACATGCCCTCTGCCCCATGAAGGAGTCTTTCTGCCAGTCCAGTTTGTGGTTAGGCTGTACTTTTATACACCACACTGAAAGTAGTGCAGGTGTCTCCATAATTATTTCAAATGTTGTGATTCCTGTTGCAAAATGTCAGTACTTTCTGAAGCCATCTGGGTGTTAGTTCACTTCTTTTGTGTAACAAGCACTAGTTCTCTCAGGTAAACTTTGCTATACAAGAAAAAAAGCTATACGCTTCCTTTTACCACAGAGTTACATCTGATCACATTTATTTATATGTTTTTTTTTAAAAATCTGTATTTCCATTGTCTTCAACTTGTTTTAAGCCTTATTTAGAGATTACTCTTGTGGTGACAGTATGATTGATCCAGCACACATGGTGTTGGACTGCTCTTTTGCAGTCAGTCTATTTTAACGAAAGGAAATGCAATAAAAGTTTTAAATTCCAGCATTTACTGAGGAATGCAATAAAATAATAAAAAAAACCCTAAACATACATTATTACATTATTACCAATTATTTTTAGAAACAGACAAATCTTGTCTAGGAGATGATTAAAGCTGGAATGAATACTCATCCAAATGGTCTCTCATTTTCACTTGAGATTGTTTCAGCTGTAATAACATACTGCTTTCATTTGAACGGTGCCTTAAAAGCTAATGGAATTTGAATTCATTTTGTAAATAGTTTCACATAACTGACTGTGATATTGATAACAACAAAACAACTAATGGATCAAATGAAATATTTCAATCTATAACGTAGCCATTAGTGGCACCCAAGCAATATTGGACCTGGTACTTGCTTTTCTGATCTTCAATCAGTTCAGTTAATGATATGCTTGGAGCACATGCATTTACTTATTGAAGACTTACTGATATTCCAACAGCAAAAAACCTCATGGTTGAATGAAGTTATCTCCAAAAGCCAGAGGGGAGGTTTGTGCCAAATGAGAAATGTAGATGAATGGCATTATCAAATACTCTCCACTATAAAGGAAGAATCATTTGACTTTTTAAATGAAATAATGTAGAAAATTGTAATTGTTCAAAAAGAGAGAAAATTGCTCCACTCAGTTATTGAAATGATACAAAGCAAATCATATATGTTCTTTTTACAAAGCCAAAAAATCAGAAAGCATCATCTTTCTTATCACTACTTTTCATAAAGCTTGCAGAAATTATTTGGGCATATGAGTATTCAGTCCTGTAATTGAATTAGAGCAGTTAAAAGCTCTTGATACAGATGTTTGGGTCTTTCTCAGTATTGAGTTAAAGAGGAATTTGAAAATCCAGAAGCTTGGTTCCTACTCTAAATATAAGCAGCAAATTTTCTGTGTTTTGGGGATTGCCCAAGGCCATTCCAGAAGCTATGTGAGAGCAGAACAAGGAGGAGAAACCTTGATTAGGCCAGTTTTTCACAAACTCCATCTTGCATAGTGGTTGTGTTCAGAAGACAACCATACAAGGTACAGCTACGCTTACAGAAAGTGCAAAATGTTTTTAAAATCACTTGCACTGACATTAGGACTGAGAGTAGGTTTGGAATCCAGCTTCTTGGGCTTTTTCAGTCAAGTGACATTCTCCCTTCTGAAAGGATACCTGTGAGTATAATTGTCCTGTAGTATGTTATTATGAAATAAAATACATACAGTATGCAAATATGAGTCTGTTTAAACCAGAAATAGAAATGGGAACCATAGACATTGTAAAAGGATGTGACTGTTCAGCCACTGCTTTAAAACTAAACTGGGAAAGTATCTGTACAGTCCAAATAATAGGACTCTGAAACAACATAACAGAAGTTTTCCATGGAATATACTGTAATACTTTGTTGCACAAGAAAGCTTTACAAGCAAGATGGGACATTTTGGTGTGTTTGGAATTGTAAGCTGCCATTTGGATATTTGGAAAGCTTCCTTTCCAGCCACTTGGCAAATTCTTTGCTGGCATCAACTGCTTTGCCTTGTCACAACATATAAAACACTGATTTAAAACCAGCTTGCCTGAAACCTACTTAGCTTGGACTTTGCAAGTAGTTCCCCTTGATGGAAGACTGCCTTGCTCTGACTTTATACATAATTTATCTGAAATTCTGGAACTGTTCAAAGAAGGAGAGCTCTGACTGCATTAGCCAAACCTGTATGTGTAGCTGAACAGCCTTAAATCTGATTCATAAAATGGAGAATTTTCGGAAAGTTACTTTTCACCCCAGTTATGTGCAAGACAGCAGAAATAGTTTTTAATCACCCCTCTGGTGTATAATGCTGTTTTACTCAGCTTTGTTTTAAGAGGAATTTTGTTTGCTCGGAATGCACATAAAATAAAATATTCAGCAAGCAACAGTCTAATAAATTAGACACTACCAGGGCATGATAAATAATGAAACAGTGTAATTACAGCTCACAGAGGGGAACCCTTTGGTCTATTTTGGAAATCCCTAAAATAAAGAATATTCTGAATTAGGTCATTTCTGCAAAAGTCGGTGCTGGAATCTAACCCGTATGTTTAGAATCGGTTTTACATGTTATGTTTGCAGTGGAAATGCAAATAGTTCCATTAAGTGCTACTCATTTCTGCATTGGTATTACTTTTAGATGGCCACTGAATTTTTTTGTGATAATTTGTGCTAAGGGTTTGCATCTGGGTTCTTTGGCCCTCCTGTTGTAAGCTTCCTTCCCAAACAACAGGTATCTGTGTGGTGCAGATGGAGCACATAACTGCCCAGAAACTGGGAAATGCGAGATATGGTTTAGATGTGACTTTACACAAAGGTCACGTATCCTTAAATGAACTCTGGGCTGTGTGTTGAACTGCAGTCTTCCCTGTCCCCACTGTGTCTCCCCTCTTCTCTCTGTTTTACAAGTATATTTTCCAAGCCTCTCCTTTCACAAGAGTGAGTGAAACTCTGCAGCCTCCAACCCGAGAGTTCATTTGTATGTGGGGATTCCTGCTGACCATTTACAGCCCAAATAAACCTCCTGTGTGTTGCCTGTGTAGCACTAAGCAGGCAGAGTTGGCAAGAAACCCAACACAAAATTTTCATACTCTCATGTAAGAACCTAGACTTTCACCTGGGAGTGGGAATTGCTTTATTATTTTATCCAGTCTGTCTGTGTAAAAAACAATCTGGCTGAGTAGCCAGGCCTGTGCTTTTATTTATGTTTTCACTGTTAGGGTGGTCAGGCACTGGAATAGGTTGCCCGGGGCGGTGGTGGAGTCACCGCCCCTGGAGATGTTCAGGAGGTGTCTGGATCCAGTTCTGGGCAATGTGGTTTAGTGGTGTAGGGCTCATACCGGCGGTGTTGGGCTGAGGGTGGGACTGGATGATCTTAGAGGTCTCTTCCAACCTTGATGATTCTACGGTTCTGTGATTTTAGATGCGAAATGACTTACAGAGCCCTTGTCCTCTTTCCAAAAAGCCCATCTAAGCTGTCAGCCGTGGGGATCCGCAGCTTGTGACACTTCCCATCTTTCTTGTCCCCTACCTAGCCCGTAGGCAGAGCGCGGCACGGTTTGTTCCTGGGGGCGGTTCTCCGGGAGGGTCCCGCCGGGATGCTCCGTGCGCTCCGCTCCGCTCCCGCGGGGGCCGCTCGGCGCCCTCCCCGCGCCCGGGGCCGGGGCCGGGGTTATGTAAAGAGCCGCGTTACGCAAGGAATGCAGATTTACCTTACGTAACAGCCCGTGCCTGCCGGAGCCTCCTCTGTGCGTGCCACCAGCGCCCAGACATTAGAGGGAAAAGCGGTGTTGGCGCTGTCAGAGATCGCTCCGTCCGGCTCCGGAGTGACCTGTTTGCTGCTGTGGCTCTTCTCACTCGGGCGGTTTCCTGTAACTCCCGCCTCTTCCTTAGCCTTGGGGGACATTCCCTTCGGTGAAAATAAACAGCACACATACCTGAGTCATATTGGTGCCCTTCTCCGGGGGTCTAAGGAAGACTTTACTGGTTCATCGTTATTGCACGGAGTGAAGTTAATCCAGTGTGGACAAAGGGAAATTGCAAAGTCCTGGGTATCTCAAGCACTATATTTCAGCTGCTGCCACAGTCAGAGGACCTGATTCCAATGCCTGTGTCCAAAGGCAGATTTCCAAGTCGCTTAAGTGTCTTCAGGACTAGAAAAAAGACCCCCATAGCTCAGAAGTCTGTCTCTAGGAGATATTAGGAGAGATTCCGGAGGTGGGGGCCTGTTGCTGTTTGTTTACCCTCTTGTGTGCAGGCAGAGAATCCTCGGGTGCTGAACACTTGGGATACTTTCATGGAGTAGTAGATGCTGTCAGGGCTTTTGTGCTCGATGCCTCACTCAGTTCCCTCTGTACTAATTTCTGATCCTGCATCTTTCCACATCTTTCCTTCCTGATTTAGTGACTGATAAGTTGGGGGGGTGGGTGTACTCTGTTTGGAGTGTTTGGGTTGGTTGGGTTTATGTTGGTTTGGGTTTGGGGTTTCTCCATGGAAAGGCCTTGAATTCCATAGGTACCTTGAAGGATTGGTGTACAGGAGTGCTCAGCTCAGGGCTTTGCTCTGGTTCTCTACTTGGACGTTTTTGACCACACACCTTCATACTCCTTCCCTTTTTCACTTGTTGCTAATACCCAGCCTGCCCCATCAGGAAAACCCTGGATGAACAGAAACAGCAGTCAACAGATGGTGTCAAAGACAGAGCAACCCTTTTCCTGTTGTGCCTCACCTGTATTGCTTTATAATCTTTACAAACTGGAGCTGGAATCTGGACTGTCCTGACTGTTATCAGTCAGTGAATGTCTTCCAAAAATGAGCCCAGTTCCATTTTCAGCTCTGTGTGTTTTGGTGTCCCAACCATCCTGTGCTGGTGAGCTCATTCTCCAGCTTCCCTGTGTGCTGTGAGCAGGGGGGTGGACGTGAGCCAGCCGTGATCCAACAGTTGTGTGACCAGACACAGCACAGCTCTTGGAGCTTTTTGCTTCTGCTGGTTAAGAACAGCTCCAACCTGGACTAATCTCTTGGAGACTCAGGTAGCCAAGAGAGACAGGAGTAGGTGAAAGCAAATATGAAAAGACAGGTGACCTGCTGGGTTAGTCAGCTGTTTGAGTGGCTTATTCCTGTTATCTCCTGTTGTCCAGTGGGATAAGCAGAAAGTAGGGAAACAGCCAGTCTGCTCAGATCCAGACAGAAGTGGGAGAAAAAAAGAGCTTTTAAACTCAGTGCCTGCCTTCCCTGTTATTGTGTTTCTGAGATTCAATGAACTTTTTGTTTCCAAAACAGGAATATCAAAGGAGTCCAGAACCACATGAATTTCAACAAGGGGAAGTGCTGGATTCTGCACCTGGGATGGGGCAACCCTGGATGTACAGCCAGCCTGGGGAATGAGAGGCTGGACAGCAGTGCTGCAGAAAGGGGCCTGGGGGGCCTGGTCGATGGCAAGTTGAAGGTGAGTCAGCAGTGCCCTGGCAGCCAGGAGGGCCAACCCTGTCCTGGGGGAATCAGGCAAAGCATCACCTGGGGTCACCAGGGATCACCTGGGGTCATCCAGGAGTCATCCAGGAGTTATTGGGGATCACCTGGGGTCATCCAGGGGTCACCTGAGGTCATCCAGGAGTCATTTGGGGTCACCTGAGGTCATCCAGGGGTCACTTGGGGTCACTTGGGGTCATTCACAGGTCAACTGGGGTCATCCAGGAGTCACTTAGGGTCACCTGAGGTCATCCAGGGATCACCTGAGGTCATCCAGGAGTCATTGGGGATCACCTGGGGTCATCCAGGGGTCACCTGAGGTCATCCAGGAGTCACTTGGGGTCACCTG